ATATTCAACTCCCTTTTTCTGCCAAATTTTCTAATTTTCCCACATGATATTCAATCTGCCGTGTTTTTGCCCACTGGCTAACCTGTCCATATCCCTCTGCAGACTTTCTTGTATCATTCTCACTGCTTGCCTTTCCACCTATTTTTGTGTTGTCTGCAAACTTAGTGAATATACTACAGTTTATTCACTTTCCTCATTCAAGTCATTAATATATATTGCAAGTAATTGTAGCCCCAGTACTGACCGCTGTGCATTCCACTAGCTAAAGGTTGCAATCTTGAAAATGTCCTCCTTAGCTCAAATCTGTCTTCTGTTTGTTAGCTTACCCTCCATGCACGCCAAGAGGCACAGGCTTTTTTCTTATTGAATAGCCTAACATTGAGAGCTTGTTAAATGTCTTCTGAAAATCCAAATAAGTTGCATCTACTTCTTCCCCCTTATTTATCATACTTGTATTTTCAAAGAGCTGTATTAAATTTGCCAGGTTGACCTTCCCTTTTGTGAGGACATACCGATTCTGCTTGATCATGTTTTATATTTCTAAATGCTCTGCTATTACACTCTTTATAATAGGCTGTAACATTTTACCAGTAACATATGTTAAATTCTACAGTTACCTTTTTTTTAAATATTCTTCCCTTTTTAAATACGTATGCAATATTGGCAGTTTTTAAATCTTCTTTTACTTTTTTCAGAATCTAAGGACTCTTAGAAGATTATTAAGCCTCCACTATCTCTGTAGCTACCTCTTTTAATACCTAAGAATGCATTCCATCAAGTCCAGGGGCCATATCGGTCTTAAGTCCCATTATTTTCCCTTGCATTATTTCTCTGGTGATAGTTATTGTACTTCTTTCCTCTTCACCTCTTGCCCCTTGATTATTAACTAATTTTGGAATACTATTAATGTCTTCCACTGTGAAGACTGATGCAAAGTATTTATTCAATTCTGCCGTTACCTGGTTCCTTATTTCCTCAGCCTCGTACTTTAATCATCCTATGCTCACTTTGGCTTCTCTGTTTCTTTTGGCATATGTAAAGAAGCTCTTGCTGTCCGTCTTGATCTTAGTTGCAAACTTACCCTCAAAGTTTATCTTCTCCCTCTTTATTGTTTTTTGGTCCTTTTTTTGGGTTTTAAAACTTTTTAATCGTCTGGTTTACCACTAATCTTTGCCAAATTGTATATGTTTTCCTTCAATTTGTTACTACCCTTAACTTCCCTGGTTAACCTTGGTTGCTTATCCCCTTCCTAGAATATTCATTCCTCTGTGAGATACATCTTTGCTCTGAGCCATGAACTATTTTCTTAAATGTCTATTGTTGTTTCTCAACTGCCAGTTCACTCCAGCCAGCCCTTCCCTCATTCCTTTTTAATTGCTTTTATTTAGACTCCGCAGTTATGCCCAACCGAAGTTCCAACCTCTCAATTTGACTGCTAAACTCCATCATGTTATGGTCACTGTTTCCAAGGGGATCTTTTGCTCTGACATCATCCATCAAATCTGTTCCATCATGCATCACCAGATCCAAAATAGCCTGATCCTTGGTTGGGTCTACATCATATTGTTCCAGGAAAATGTCCTAAATATATGCTATGAATTCTTCTTCATTGATCCCAATGTTAATCTGACTATCCCAATCTACAGGAAGATTTAAAGTCATTCATGATAAATTTAATACCTTTGTTACCTGCCCTCATTATCTCCGAATTTATTTCTGTCCCATCGTATAGCTATTGCTTGGGCACCCATAGAATACTCCTATCGGTGTTGTTTTCCCTTTTTATTTTTTATCTCTGTCCATATGGATTTGATGTCTTCAAAGATCTTTTCTTGTTCCTGTACCAATAATCCTCCCTTAATACTTCTTTCTTCCTGTCTGTGTCAAAAAGTGACAGAGCCCTGAATACTTTCCTGCTTTGATCTCCTTCTACCCATAGCTTCATAATGGATAGAAGATTACACCTGTTAACCTGTATTTGCGCCATTAATTCATCTGTGCTGAATATTATGTGTATTCAAGTAAAGAGCATTAATTTGCTTTTTAAACATTTTTTTCTCCCTTTCGGGAGAATTTGCTGATTTATTTTATGTTATCCAAATAACTGCCCTATCATGCTGCCATATCCACTTGCTTTGTAAGCCTGCATTTCCACTCTGCCAAACTCTTCCCCTTCTAATTATTTTACAGCCCTACTTATTTGCTTTGCCAGGTCACTGGTCCCAGCTCAGTTCAAGTGATGCTCTCCCACATGGACAGCTTCCTTCTATCCCAGTACTGGTACCAGTTCCGCAAGGACTGTAAGCCATTCAACCCATACCAATCTTTGAGCCACGTATTTAACTCCTTGACTTTATTTATCCTATGTCCAGTTTTATCTATGGCTCAGGTAGTAATTCTGAGATTTTCACTTTGTAGGTTCTGTATTTCATTTTAGCTCCTAATTCTTTCAAATTTTCCACACAACCTCCTTTCTAGTCCTACTAATGTTTTTGGTGCCAATGTGGATGACAGCTACTGGATCCTTCCACTTTCCCTTCAAGTTCTTCTCCAGCCCTGAGAAGATGTACTTAATCCTGGCACCTTGAAGACAACCTAGCTCTTTGGAACTCCCATTAACAGCTACAAAGAATAGTATCTATCTTCCTATTATACTTCCCTCCCCTTCTTCCCACCTCTCCCTGTGCCAAGGTGCCGTGGCCAGTTTGCTCATCCTCAGTATCCCCACTCTTGTCCATTCAGCTTTCAACAGCCTTGTAACTATTGGACAGTTGAGGGGGCCATGGCCTCATATCTGCCTCATTTGCAGTCACACCTCCTATAGCCTATAACTATATTTGTTTTTATAATCTGAAAAAGAAAAAAAAAATCAGTATCATTCTAGTACTTAAGTAGTTAATTTTTAAGAAAGGGAGAAGAAAATACCGAGACCTAAGCACGAATTGAAGAACTTACTTTTACTGTAAATGCTAAAATATTCACCAATTCTACTTGCCAATCAGCATCTTTCCCTGCACTCGCATCATGCTGTGGTTTGTTATTGTCATTCTGCCACTGGTCTTACATCAAGTCATCTCTCGATCTGCTGAGTTGGATGATGTACCTGCAATTAACTTTAGTTCTCGAGCAGTTTTCTTACCAGCAACTCCACTTAAAGAATTGGAATTACTTGGTGTGCGTCTTCTTGAGTTTACTATGTTTCTTGTAACACATGGCTCAGAATTTGAACAGCAGTGTTCATATTTCAACAGAGGATGGATTTCCAATCTCAATCTTCACTTCAAAGAGGTTTAATGACATTGGACACTTCACAAAAGGTGGGAGAATCTGATGAAGGAAAAGGTCACTTGATACTAACCAAATCTTGTCTGTCTAATGTCCAAGATGACACCATGACATGTGAAAACATTACAGTTACAGATTGAGGGTGAAATAGAGAAATCTATTTATGTTTAAAATGTGTCTGTGTTTTAGTACTGACCAATGTACCTCTATCTTTCCCTATCAAGATGTAACAGTGGCAAAGAAACAGGAATTAATTGCTCTTTCTTCTCTGCTTGGGAAGGAGGTCTTCAAAAATGCAAGACGGAAGCCAATCCTGACCATGTTGGTGTACCGTTTTGATGCAGACAGTGCTGCAATGCATCTTGATTGCTGTTGACAATGTAAACAGTTCATAAGTGAATCCCTTTGGAATCAATAAGTTAATATGGATTCAGTTAATCGAGCCTAGTATTATGTTTCTGTGTATAATGTAGGAATTATAATAAGACGCTTTTGCAATGTACACTGTTGTGCCACCATATTAACTTAAAAGATTCCTGTTGTACAAATTGAAGTTTGAGATGTGCAATAAATTGAGTGATTTTTAAAATAATAAAGGGATGTGGGTGTCACTGGATAGGTCAGCATTTATTGACCATCCAAAATTACCTTTGGAAAGGTGGTAAGAAGCTGTCTTCTTGAACTGTTGACATCCTTGAGGAATAGGGACACCTGTTAGGAAAGGAATTCAGGATTTTGCCACTGTGACCATAAAGGAGCAATAATATAATATGGTTTGTGCCTAGGAGGGGAACTTGCAGATGGTGGTGTTCCATTGCATCTGCTGCACGTGTCCTTCAAGGTGGCAGTCAGTATTAGGTTTGGAAGGTGCATTTGAAGGAGCTTGTTTGAGTTGCTGCAATGCATCTGGTAAAGGATGCAGCATTCTGCATCCAAAGTGAAGGAAGTGATTATTTTACATGTTGTGAATGAAATGCCAATCAAGTGGGCTGCATTGTCTTGTTAATGACCTGTGCCTTGCGGATGGTGGCACTGGGGAGACAGGAGGTGAGTTACTTGTTGCACTTTCCTAGCCTCTGACCTGCCCTTGTAGCCACAGTATTTAAAGGGCAAGTCCAGTTCAGGTCACTGGTAATACCCGGGTTGTTGGTAGTCTGGGATTGTAAGTGATACTATGTCACAGGAAGCTGCCCATTGTTCAACAAAGGCTTGTAATTGTAAAAACATTTTATGTATCTATTAAATTGGTGTTCCAAAAATCTCTTGATATTGAAGATTTCTGTTTTGAGACATAAGGTGATGTCTCCTCACATTGATTGCAATTCAGAGTCCCATATGACGCTGGTACAGAATAGTGTGGATTTTGAATGGATAAAGACTGCTGTTGGGGACAGGAGGAAATTGAGGTCTCCGACATTTGATCATTGTCATTGGTACTACTGCAACGTGTAGAAGTTGCGAAGACAGAATCAGGATGGGCTTGCAGATACCATCATAGACTATGCATAAAGAAATATCACTTTGGCAGTAATTTGTTTATGTACATGAAACAGTACTTGTGTTACCATCACGTTCAAGAGAATTGCTGGGGGCAGGGACCATGGGGATGGAGGGGCATGCAGTTGGAGAACATATTCTTATGTTATATTTTAAATACCTACAAAAGTAGATTTTCTGAATTGTCTTCCTAATTGCTACTACTTTGATTATTTCAGAAGGACCTTGCACTTAGACCACAAGAACGAAATGAAAAGTGGGAGAAGCAAGTTGGAAAGAAACCACGCCAGATGGCAAATGGCATGTTGGCAGAGCCAAGTGAAAATGGGCATGAGAACGAAAATAGTACCTTCGAAAGAGGACGAGATCAAGGAAAGGATCGAACAAAGAGAAAAGTTCCACTAAAGAACTCCACTCAGGTCTGTGAAGTGTATCTCCTTCATTTATATGTATGTAAAAAGTGAAAGAACACTGGTTTCAGCAGCAACATTAGTACAAGGGTATAGAATTGACGGCTGAATTTTTAAAATCACTTTTGCTTAAAACCTCTAGACTGGCAGTTAATGCAGTATATTCATTTCCATTGTAATGATGGACCAGCCTTGGTTCAGATATTGGCCAATTGGCTTATTTTGTGTCCTGATCCTGAGACATGTCTAAGCCATTCAAAGTAGACAGTTGGTGACACAAGTGAAAATTTGAACCGTTGTCGGAAAAAACTGCTAAGTACCAATAGATGGAATTTTTTTGGTCTGTGTTGCACTCTATACTACTACACTCAGTGACTGTAATGACTGCCTTTGTAGCTTGCATTTAGTGACTACTGAAAGATGCATTTACATAAAGAAGTTTCCATGGTTCAAAATATAAGGCAGTTGATGTAATGTATTAAGTGATTGTATTTCCTGGCAGTTGATATTTTCACATTTTAGCCAGGACGAGTTGTTATTCTTCATACTTGGTTTATTTTGTCTCTGGTTCCTTCAATGGAATAAGCTGTCAGTTTGACACCCTATTTTACTAAAAATTTATTTCCACGACTAATAAAAGATGGTAGTTTTCGTAGCTTGACATTCAGTTTGCAATAGTTTTGTGTCAATTTGGGGCAGCATATGGCAAAAAATTGATTGAAACCAGACAGGAGGCATAATACACAAACCAGATAAGCAAATTACCAGAACTTCATTTGTCAGCATGTTCTTGTCAACTTTACAAATTAGAGTAAACATTCTACTAGAGGTTTAGAGTGCAGTTGTATGTACATTACTAGATCTTAACTGACTGTATTTCAGTTTTAAGTAGTTTATATTGATAAATATTACGAAGATTGACATACTGATTAATGCAAGTGTAAGCAAGTCCAATACTTAATTTACTTATGTTTCATTCAAAATATTGAATTTGAGAGCACAGTATATTTTGCATCATTGAACTCCGATGTCAAATCATAGAAACATAGAATATAGGAGCAGAAGTGGGCCGTTTGATCCCTTGAGCCTGTACCACCATTCAATGTGATCAAGTGTGATGATACTATGCATTTAAGAGATGTGTTCTGTGCTGTTTCTCTTGTAGAAGGGTGTTGTCACAGTGGTGCTGAAATGTCTCCTTCAGACAGGCAGTTGGTAAACAGCTTTAAGTTCTCCCTGGGTTTTTTTTAAAATAAGACAAAACAGTCATGAGTGGGCGGGGTAAGGCTCACACAGGCACCAAAGGATTTTGCCTTTGCTTTTAGTTGGTGCATAGGTTTTGCTGGCTGCTGGAGCTAAAAGCTGGAGTTCTCTGCTGCAAGAGTGAAGTCTTAGACAGCAAAGTTTTCTCTTAAAAACCAAAAGGAGCAGATCAATTGTTTCTTTGGAACTGGAGGGAGAGACAGCATGTGAGAACTGTGTCACTGTTGCTGAATTGCCTTTGCCAAGGGTGTGTTTATGGGACGCTGCCTATATTGGAACAGTTGATGATTAGTGGCTAAATAATACATTATCTTAAGTATTTCTATAGAGTAAAGTTATGCTAATTGTTCCTTTTGCTGTATTTTAAATGTGTTATAAGAATAAGGTATATTTTGATGAAAGCTTAGCGGTGGACCAAATGAATCATGTTTGGAACACAGGGTCTTACATTTGCCTTTAAAAATATATAAAAGTTAGATCTAGGCTATCTCTATAATATACTCTTGGGCGTCTGGTCTGGTTCATAACATGCCTAATCATCAAACTCAATACCATAATGCTGCCCTCCCCTCACTTCCCTTGATTCCTCTAGCTACAAGGGATATATATGAAGGCCAGCATATACTTTACTGCCTTCTTTACTGCCTGCTGCATCTCCATGCTAACTTTCAGTGACCGGTGCACGAGGACACCTAGGTCTCATTAAATGGTCCCCCTTCTCATTTTACGGCCATTCAAATAATAATCTCTTCCTATTTTTGCACCTTACACCTATTCACAATGTACTGAATCGGCCATAGACTCACTGAGCCTGTCCAAATCACGCTGCAACATCTCTGCATCATCCTCGCAGCTTACCCTTCCACTCAGCTTTGTCTTATCAGCAAATTTTGCAATATAATATTTTGTTTCCTCATCTAAATCATTAACATGTATTTTGAATAGCTGGGGTCCTAATACCAATCCCTGTGACACCCCATTAGTCACTGCCTGCCATTCAGCAAAAGACCCACTTATTCCTACGCCTTGTTTCCTGTCTGCTACCAATTTGATATCCATCACAATTCATTGCATCCAATTCCATGAGCTTTACTTTTACACATTAATCTTTTATATGGGACTTTGTAGAAAGCCTTCTGAGAGTCCAAATAAGCCATATCTACTGACACCCTCTGACTCTACTAGTAGTATTCTCAAATTCCAGTAGATTTGTCAAGCATGATTTTCTTTTTGTGTATCTATGCTGTTTGTATCTGATTCTGACACTGTTTTCTAAGTGCTCTTACCAACTACTAATGTCAGACTCACTGGTGTGTAATTCCCTGTTTTATCTCCATCTACCTTTTTTAATATGGGGTTACATTAGTTACCCTCCAATTCGTAGGAACTGTTTCAGAATCTAAAGAATCTTAGAAGATGACCATTAATGCATCCACTGTTTCTAGGGTTAGTTCATTAAGTGCTCTAGGGTGTAGATTATCAGGCCCTTGAATTCTATCAATTTCTCTAACACTATATTTCCACTAATACAGATTTAGTTTATTTCCTCCTTTCTCACTAAACCCTGTATTACCCATCATTTCTAGTATGTTATTTGTGTCCTGCTTTGTAAAGATAGAAGTGAAGTTTGAATTCAGTTCGCCAACCGTTTCTTTGTTCCCCATAATAATTTCCCCCAGTTGTTGACAATAAGGGATCTACATTAGTTTTTACCAATCGTTTTTTTTTTCTTCACATACCTACAGAGCCCTTTACAGTCACTAATGTTTTTTGCCCCTTGGTATTTCACAATTCTGCCCACACAGATTATTAATTATTTGGGCTGATATCTTTGCTGAATATTGTGTTTATACCCCCTTTAACCATAGTGCAATGCCACCCCCTTTCCTTTTGCCTGTCATTCCTAAATACTGAAAACCCCTGGATTTTTAGTCCCCATTCCTGGTCACCTTGCATGTCTCTGTAATCCCAACTATATCGTACCTGTTTATGTCTATTTGCGTGATTAATTCATTCACTTTATTTTGAATGCTCTGTGCGTTCAGGCACAAAGCCTTAAGGCTTGTCTTTTTAAGGTTCATTGCCCCATTCCCCCTACATTTCATTGTGGCTTTGTTTAATTCTGGCCTTCAATTCCCCTGCCTATAACTTCTCTTATTCCCCTTTCTGTCTTTTGTTCTTGTCCTTTATTCCACATCCTCTAACTCCTTGCTTAAGTTCCCAACCCTTGCCAATTTAGTTTAAGCCCTTCACAATCACTCTGCAAATACTCCCCTTAGGGAATCAGTCCTGGTCCTGCCCAGGTGAAACAGTTGGAAGCTCTGGGTAGTGCAAAGACTGTGGGCCCTGGCAAAAGTCCAGCATTAGTACTGAAAACCTGTGTTCCAGAAATTGCTGCACGCTTAGCTAAGCTCTTCCAGTACAATTACCACACTGGCATCTACCCAACAATGTGGTACATTGCCCCAGTATGTTGTGTACACAAAAAGCAGGACAGTTACAACCTGGCAAATTACTGCCCCATTGGTCTACTTTTGATCATAGTAAAGTGATGGAAGGTGTCATCAACAGTACTATCAAGCAGCATCTGCTCAGCAATAACCCGCTCAGTGACGCACAGTTTGGATTCCACCTGGGCCACTCACATCCTGACCTCCTTACAGCCTCGGTTCAAGCGTGGACAACAGAGCTAAATTTGAGGTGAAGTGAAAGTGACAACCCTAGACGTCAAGACCGTGTTTGACCGTGTGTGGCAACAATGAGCCCTCGCAAAACTGGAAACAATGAGTATCGGGGGCAGGTTCTCCGTTGGTTGGAGTCATGCTTAGTGCATAGAAAGATGGTTGTGGTTGTTGGAGATCAGTCATTTCAGCTCCAGGACATCTCTGCAGAGTTCCTCAGGGTAGTGTCCTGCGCCCAAACATCCAGCTGCTTCATCAATGCCCTTCCCTCCACAATAAAAGTCTGAAGTGCATTTGTTTTCCAGTGATTGCATCACGACTCCTCAGATATTGTCCATGTTGAAATGCAACAAGATCTGGACAACATTTAGTGGCAAGTAATATTCGCACCACAGAAATACCAAGCAATGACCATCTCCAATAAGAGACAATCTGACCACTGCCCCTTGACATTCAATGGTGTTATCATCACTGAATCCTCCACTATCAACATCCTGGGGATTACCATTGACCAGAAACTCAACCAGACTAGCCAAATAAACATAGTACCTACAACAGCAGGTCAGAGACTAGGAATACTGCAGCGTGTAACACACCTCTTGATTCCCAAAGGCCTGTCCTCCATCTCCAAGGCACAAGTCAAGCAGTATTGTGGAACTCTTTCCACTTGCCTGGATGAATGCAGCTCCAATGTCTTTGAAAAAGTCTGCCAACATCCAGGACAAAGCAGCCTACTTGATTGGCACTATATGCATAAACATGCACTCCCCTACCACTAACATTCAGTGGCAGCAGTTTGTACCATCAACAAGGTGCATTGAAGGAATTCTTCAAAGATCCTTAGACAGCACCTTCTAAATCTACGACTACGTCCGTCTAGAAGGACAAGGATAGCAGATACATGGGAATGCCATCATCTGCAAGTTCCCCTCCAAACCTCTCACCATCCTGACTTGGAAATATATCATCATTCCTTCAGTGTTGCTGAGTCAAAATTCTTTAATTCCCTTGCTAATGGCATTGTGGGTCAACCAACAGCATGTGGACTGCATTGATTCAAGGAGG